TCCCATATTTCCTGCATACATTTTCACTTGTACCTCTGGGTGAAAGGTAGGGGGCACTCTATCAGTCTGACACGCGATGGATTCAGATTATATGCTGTCATAACGCAGTTTGATGTTCACTGCCATGACCACTTGACATCTCACACAGAATTTCACTGAAATGAGTGCTTACATTCTTAACTACTATTAGTGGCATCTATTAGCCATTCTGTGCGTTCTTCGCCAGTTATCATCAAGTTCCTCAAGACCAAGTTCTCGTGGGAGGGGGAGGGATGTGACAAAAATATTTACCACTTTTAAATCTACAGCTTCTAACTGATGTGTTTCTCACTTATCTAAGCCTTGCCCAGCTCTAACTGGCTAACACGCCCATTCTTTTTTGTTCTTGTGTTTTTGTTGCAGAACACCACACAAAGAAAATTAGTAATCAATATTGCACTGATTACGAGCCACGGTGGTCTAGCGGTTAGAACGCTGGCCTTGTAATCCTGGGGTCTCGGGTTCGATTCCCGGCGGTGCCCGAATTTTTAACTTGTGTTGGGCAAGGCGTGGTCTAGGCAACACGGAGTTTTCCTCCGTGGCATCCCAACAATTACTCCATTCACACACAGAAGAAGGCAATGGCAAACCACTTCTGGATCATCTGCCAAGAACGGATATGAACAGGTCCCAGTCCGAGAAAAGGAAGGAAGGATCCTGTTCATATGGACCTGTCATCAGACAGAACACTAAATAAATAAATAAATAGTATTATCTGTCGGTCACATTGGCCGCGCTGTCTCAGGCTTGGGACCGTGGGTTCGAATCTCACTCAAGGCATGGATTTTTGTCCGCGTGTTTTTGTGTTGTGCTGTCCTGTGTACAGGTAGAGGCCATGCGAAGGGCTGATCACTCGTCCAAGGGGGCTACTAAATATTGCACTGATGATACAATTTCCACATCACATAAACATGATTCAACTATAACAATGTAAAATATGCATCATCAAAACGCACAAGACATATTCCAACAATATGTTACAGCATTCTTTCAGAGACACAAATTACAAGAAAATAGTTCATTGTCAACACAATTAGAGTTTACACGTGTGTGTGTGTCACATGTGACAAATCATTAAGTGATGTAACAACATGTGATAAACATTGCATTAAAACACATGTTTCGGAATATTTGTCATCATCAGACAAACATGAAACTTCAATCTTCATTACAATGTTTGTTTGTTTGTTTAGAATTTTGTGCTGTAATGTATAGTTACATAGTAAACATACACATTCTATGTTCTATTACAGGCTCTATGTACATCAAGCCATTCAACCAGACATCCAAACCAAACTAAATAAGAATTAATGTTTGGTGTTTGCCACATCTCTAGATACTTCTGATGGCAAGTACGTCAAAACTTGTAATTTAATGTGTATACATATATATCACATGTTGTTAAAACCCTAAAAGGTTTGTCATATGTGATATATACTTTCATACATATGTATTTCAATTGTGTTGATGATAAACTATTTTTTGTTACTTTCATCCACTACTCACACAATAGGATGCAACTACTAAATATGCTTTAAGAGACCTAATGCACTTGCAAATTCCTCAACTAGCACTTCAATGTATACAATTCCCAAACTGAATCCTGAAGAAAAATCAGTAATCAGTCAAAAATATTCCATCAAACACCAAAAGTACCTATTAAAAATAATGAAAAACTAATTTGAAATGTTTGGAAACACCAACTTTGATGGAATAAAATACAATATGCTAAGACGCAATGCTAAAAACAGAGCAGAGATGAGTCAGAACATCAGAAGGATTGTTTGGAATATCAATTAGTATTCCTTTCATACAACAATGGACAAAATTATTTTCTTGTGGTCTTCAGTCACTCTAAACATCAAGATTATTCCATAGATTGACTTGGTTCTAGTTTGTGACACGTCAGTATTTTATCAATTACATTCATTCAGTACTCAACTCCTCACAAGAGTTTCTTTCTCATTTCTGAGACCTCTATAGAAACGCATCACACACATCAAGCAACTCAAATACACACATAATCTGTAAAGTCCCACACTTTTCCTTCGTCAACAGGAGACAACGTTGGTAAAACATCTTTCCTGTTTTAACATTCTTTTACGCAAGGTTTAAAAAATTAAGACAAGTTTTACAAAACTAAGTGGGCATTCACCACGTGAAACCTTTTAAAACATTACTCTTAATCGTGGGAACTTTAAAAGCTGTATCTTTTAGCGCTTGCAACCAAAGACAGTCAATGTGGACTGCTGACAACTTGGCTATACCCATGCATAGATGGATGTATGCTATTAAAATGAGCCTCAAAGAGGGAGCCATAAAATACAGCCCTTGACTTCGCGATCCTAACAGCCTGTAATTGATCACCATTTGATGATAAATGTGCATCCCCAAACAATACTTTGCATTCTAAAAGTAAGTAAACTTTCCTGTTAACGAAGTGAAGATTCTAATGGCATATTACTCAGTTTCTACATTGTGACTGTTTCAAGCTGTATGTTATATTCATTTAATTTTGCTTGTATTCTATTCTTCTGGCTCCAGTTTATATAACCACGATTTCAATTACAAAGGTTATATAGGACTGAATGACAGGATAATCAATAAAAGATGAATCAGAAGATGTGGAAAGAAGCAGCCATGCCTATTTTATGGTACTATCCTGACCTTGCCTTGGAGGGAATGAGAAAAACCACAAAAACTCAGTCAGGACAATAATCAGTCCATGAGCTGAGATTTGAACAAAGGCCCTAACTAATATGAAGCTGCAATATTCGGCTCCTAAATCCTAAATTCCAATCTTTAAAATAATGTGGGATTCTGAACAGAACAGAAAAGCTGGAACAAATTCACCGCTAATTACTGACATGGCATTCAATTAACAGCAACTACAGTTCACAGCCCATGCAATCAATAAACCCAACTATCAATGGCCAAATCTTTCAAGATCAAGTTACACTGCCTCCACGCCTTTCATATCATTCCTCAGTTACACAAAAAATCTATACAATTTTGTCATATCTGAGTGCATAAACAGTCATAAGTCCAGAACAGAGCAAAACAAATGTTTTGTATCAGCAATTATTAATCCATTGCCATGCTATTTTGCTCAAAATACTTAGTAAACCTGTAAAAAAAATCAACAAATATCCCCTCTTCGATTTTTGGCAGTGATCCTCAGAAATTACTTTGATTCATATTTTTCAGTAAATAAAATTGAATATGTAGTGGCAAAACGAAATCTTTCTAGATTAAGCAGAGCTTGACTGGTGACATCTTTATTTTCCTATAATCAATGCTAGTCAAGGCGGCCATTGAAATACTTCAAAATCTATAGAAAAATTATCCCAAAATGTACATATAAACTTCAACCCAATAAAATTTCTCAGTTGTAATAGTATGCTAATAGGTTAAGAAGGTTTGTTATAAAAGAGCAAAAAATGAGCCAGAATACTACAACATAATCAAGTACCTCTAGAAGATAATACAGTAGCCTGTTTATTACACCCATTAAAACTGATCACACTTATTCTATCTACCATACTAAATTTCTGATTCTTACAAAGTAAAATCTTGCATATCTTTTGTCACTTTTTGTATTCTGAGAACATTTTGTTGAAATATGCCAGCCTCAGTGTTACTTGCAAATTCTGGCAGCGTGCACAAGATATCACCTAATTATGACACACTTTCCAGTTATACAAAGAAGCAAAATAAATGTTATTCAAACTGTCGAGTCAGTAAAACTGTACCACTTGAAAAATTTGACCAGTGAAATCTACACACAGAATCAATAGAATTAACAGCATAAGTTTACTTATTCACAGCAAAAATAAGAAAATTAGAATGTTAGTTACAAGTGTCCACGAGCTGTTAGCACTTCGAAGGTGGGGTCAGAGAACGCGATGGGAATCCTGCAACCCTGAACACCACAACTGACAGAAACAACCAAAAGCTCAGGTTAGGTTTTATCCTGACCATGCTCGCAGAAGCGCTAAACTAACGACAGAATGGGTACTAGCTGCCACCATCAGTTCGTTCATATGACTCCTGCTGCAGTGAAATACAATACAGAGATACACTGCATGTGACCTTCATGTGCTAGTTTATATTCATAGCTGTAAGTGAAATCACACACCCTTCTCTTTCCATTACAACACAGTGCAAATTTCATTAATGTGACATTTTCGAACTGACAGCAGTCAAGGGTTCCAAATAATTTCATGAAAATGTCTACTGTCCTTTAGACAACACTGAAATCACATTTACTGGCAATACAATAGTGAAAAAGTTTTTTGTTGCATGTTAATATTCTATGATCCTGAACAGATACAAAATAATTTTGATTACATCTTCACTACACTAGACCCAAATATGCAAACATCTACAGGAAAAACCTCCCAGGGGATGCAACAGGGGTCAGTTGAACCACAAACAAGGAGGCCACCAACTGCCTGCCTTAACACAGATCCAAATTTTATTTACATTTGGCAGGTTTTTCTCCCAATCTACTTTTGCAAATATTTGTATCACAGAACAAACACATCAATATTGACATCTTTTTAAAAACTGCTACTGCAGTGAAAGGCAGTATTCCTCCATGTCTCTTGCAAAATTTTAAATTTAACTGAAAGTAAAATTATACATTATTCACGTCCAGTGCCATGACACGAAGGTCTATAAAGGTGTCAGGGAGGCAGAGCTCCATACATTCTTAACTTCAGGAGCACAGTTAAGTAAGGTACTGCCTTAAGACCTGGGCCTTTTATTCACCCTGATCAGGGCCTTCCTAAGCTTAAGTAGTGCCATGTACCCTGCTTTCAATAAGCCCCTGGGACTTTCCTTGGCTGTCCCTGGCTTTTGAGCTTCCTTCTCGCATTCCAAACACTTGGTATATGCCAGATGAAGCCTGTATACCTTATGGCCACATACTGTAGATCACCCTCATTGACAGGTTTGCTGGAACCACCAGCCACCTGTGGTGGTATGCCAGAACTGCTTGCCCCCAGACAGGTGATCTCAATGTTTAAAAAAATCACGTTGTGGAATCCCTTTAATATTTGTCATCTGTGATAAATCTACAGTCTGCGAGAAAAATGGTGCATAATAACAATGGGAATGGGTAGAAAACCTCAAAATAAATTAATTTAAAAGAAATAATTCTCTAGAAGGAATCATTCCCAAGATATGGTGAGAAGAAATCATCAAATGAGGCATGTCACACAAATCATAACCAGCAAATAAATTAGTGGTACCGCTCAGAGACAGAGGCAGACACACAGAAGGTTAAATAACTACAAAAAACTGCAGGTGAAACTCATGAATGAGTTAACACAAAAGAATAGCGTACATAAGTAGAAGGCACAGTTCACACATGTGAGGATAAACAACACTTGCTAACACACAACACAGCAGATACATAACTAAGAGGGCAGTCGATACAGTTAAGTGTTCAAGCATCCACCACACATTCATCGACATGCAACTGCACATCATGGAATGCTATAGCTTGCACACGTCATAACATGTCTACATCAACGGTTGCCACAGCAGCATGAAATTTTGTTGCCAAGGTTTCCATGTGAGTCAGTGGACCCCCGTAAACAATTTCTCTGAGGCGTCCCCAAAGAAATAAGTCCAAAGGGTTCTCACGGGAACTGTTTGTTGAGGTGCAGTTGGGTCTGTGCACTAAAATGCACCAATGCACTGAAACCTCACATCAAACCAAAAGTGGCACATCTCCAAGCGGTATGGTTAGCACTTCCTGCAGGAACACATGATAAGCATGACCACTGAAGAGGTCAGATAGTAGGTGTGGCCAACCACAGAACTGCCAATGATACCAGCCCACAAATTAATGCTCCAGCAAACTTGATGGTCCCACTCACATGTTAACATGTGGATTATGTTGTGACCACAAGTGGCTGTTATGACTGCTGACACTTTCATGTCTGAATGCTGCTTCATCTAACCATAAGGTGTGCTCCAAAAAGCCCAGATCATATTCGTCTTCCTCTAAAAGCCATTCACACTACCAAAGACAATGATGATAATCATGAAACATGAGACTTTAACCCATGAGTAGTGGATACAGGTCTTCATCCTGGAGGATTAAATGGTCAGTGCAATGTTCTATACCCAACTCACAGGAAATTCCTCATGTACTATAACATGAATTGTCACCATATCCAGAGCCATCTCTTCCAGTGGTGGTATTCAACATTCTGTTCATTTTACTTACCCTTTCTTGCTAATGTCTTACTGCAACAAGCTGACTGCACAATACAACAGCAACACTAATTCTGTGCACTGAGTGCTGATCACTGTCAACCGTGGTACCACAAGGAGCTTATCTATGACCATTGGTCCTCCCACAGCATGATTAATTTACTTGCCCCATTTGATGGTTGTGAAAAAATTAATTCTAGAGAATTCTTCCTTCTACATTTCTTTTTTTATTTTGAGGTTTTCTACCTGCTACCATTGTTATTATGCACCATTTTCTCCCGCACCCTGCCTATATACTTCGGGTGTTGATGGTGAATTATTTTCTTGTAACTTTCATCAAAGCCAAGTCCATGGGATTCAGAACCTCACAAATTCTCAGCTCTAAGCCTCACAACTAATGTAGTACATTACAAATGAATTAAGAATTGTCTGCCATGTGCAAAATTGAGAGTTTTCTTTAGTAATATCATGCTAATTAGTAATAGCATGCTAATTAAAACTCTCATTGGCTATGAATTCATCCTCACACCCCAATTACAGATAAAATCCTGGTCACCTGTACATTAACGGTTAAGATCCATTTATTACCCTTTGTATGATTAGGTTTTCCAAGTCATCTCTTTCCTTCAGGTTTCCCAACCAAAATTTCTTATCATCTTTTGGGAATACACTAATAAATGGAGTTCAAACTAAGTACAATCAAATAATAAAAAATACATGTCACTGATTCTCAGGGCAGAGTGTATAAATATGGCTGTCTTCTGGAATGTTGCACCATGTGGTCTCCTAAAACTGACTGATGTTTCATTCACAGTGTGTACTATCTGCATCATCATCACCCTGATGATCAGGGCACCTCTAAAACATCAGTCAGTTTCTACCAAACTATGTGGCACAACATTCCACAAGACACCACACCATAAACAATAAATTGTAAAAAAATGAGATAGGGACAATCTGTGTTTCATGATTTTGAATGTGTTTCAGATAAACAAGGTTTTACTATATTATAGAAGTACGTAATTCAACATACCCACAGCCAGGAGTAGCATCAGTGTCACTGAAGAAGTGGAAATCAGTCTCACTAGAAGCATGCTGTATCCGCGCCAGCTCACCAGCCGTGTCCATTCGTGGACCAGCCACACCAGAGACTGCACTTGCAGCAGTTCCATGACCGACCGCCAATGACGTTGTCAAACCGGACTCCACGGCAGAATTGTATATGGTGCTCTCCGTATTACTGATGATGTTGCCACCCAAGTGACCACTTGGTCCCTAAGCACATGTAACAACATAATATATACCATTCTCATCTTCAAAGCACAGAGTGAAGTGGGAGTTTCATGAAATTTCTTATCCACAGTCTGGCAAATTTTAACTGAAGTTTTGTTTCTGTTAGCACAAATATAACCCCTATTTTATTTGAAGCCCAAATTACAATTAATATACTTTCTTCAAAACTGTTCATACAACAACTGACACAACATAAAATATTTATCTCGATAAGATCTTTAATTTCAGTCACATTTCAGTCTCCTTCATGTATTTAGCACAGAAAATAAACAGAACAGACACAATTGCATAATTAGAAGCTTCACCATTTTGTACTCTTTGCCAAACATACCAGGGTGAACAAAAAGGAGGCCGAGATTGGTAGGACATGTAGCAGTGACAGAACATCAAGGCAAGAGACTAGTTGGAATACTAGATGACGGCAGGATTATAACAGATATGGCATGAGACTGCAGAACACAGTCAGCTGTTCCAGTGGCAAACGCTTGTCATGCAGATGACTGACTCTCAGCCTCTGAACCACCACGTCCAATGGTGGGTTAACTTTGGGTTCAGTGTCATTAGTTGAAGACGCAATGTGCTTGGCAACACTGGTGCATTACAACATGTAGTATTCACAATCTCAGGGTGAAACGTTACTCAGCAATGAATGGTGAGATATTTGTTAATGATGAATTGCAAAGGATATGAAAGGAAGCAACTTCACTTGTTCACCTGCCACTCCTTGGAGAGAATGAGCAAAATAAGAAAATGTAATTTGGGACAGACTTCAAGCTCAGATCTGAACTGAACCTACAACATCCCAAATACAACATATAAATGTTGTTCACTCAACCATGGTTTATTTCAAACAGCTATCAGACTGCACATAGGTTAAGTTCTTTTGCATACTGGTAATGTCCAGTTATAAATAAATTTAATTTCACTGTTTGTTTTCAAAGCAAGGGTACCAATCTCATGAGAAGGAAACTTCTGGTGTCTTTCCTAAATGTGTACACTGTAATGTTACGAAAACAACATAAAAATTAACGCAAGTAAATGACAGTCATGTCCCATGGGTTGTGCAATGTTGAACTATCCTGAAGTATTCAAACACAAAAATATTTCAATACAGTAATCTGCTGGAAATAAACAATTTGTTAACACTGAACCTTGAGAATGTCTCATTTAATGTCTGTTCAAAAACTTGAAAGTTGGTAGTCTCAGAACAGAGACAGTCAAGACACAAACAACACTAACCAGTAATATTTAAGGTAAGTGTCACATAAGTGACATTCACAGCCAAGTAGCTATAACAAGTTCTTTCACATTGTCCTAAAAGACAGATCCACAAGGATGGAAAAGATACATACCCTCTTTGAAGACGATCCTGCTTCAGCCTGGCCATTCAGATCATCAATCTGGAATATGCCTTGATCTGACGAGTCATCGGTCACAGTTTGCTGCATTTCAACCGAGGCCTTCAGCAGTCCGTTGGCATCATTTGCCTCCATATGTTCGATCTGACTGTTTGATCCTACTCCATATTTCCTCTGCGCTGCAGCCTTCTTCTTCATGAACGACTTTTTACGTCGTTTTCGTTTCCCTCCAGAATTGGCCTTGGCAAGATCTTCACTACCAGGCACTATATTTTCCTTTGCCACCAAGCCATGGCTAGAGTTTGAGCTCTGTTCTTGACATGAACTGGATTCTTCTGTGGCATTTTGTCCATCTAATGAATCTTCCACCAATAAATCTTCATCACCTTTTATGGCAGAAACACCTTCTTCCACAATTAATGAGATGGGACGAAAATCAGCAGCTGCAATGTTGATACGATGAACCTTCTCCAATTCATCATCATTAGTGACAGTCTCTGCACAAAATGTTTTGGGCACAGAAGTACCAGCAGTTATTACATGTTTCTGCAAATCTACATTTTCTTTGGTTACACAGCTCTCTGCAGAACCATCACGACTAGACATTTGGCTTTGTACTTGACTAGAATCAACATTTGATTCGTAATTCTGGATGCCCTCACATCTGCTTTCTTGAAGGCTGTATGTGACATCCACATTCTTTTCATGCAAGTTTATGGTGTTGTCATGTATCTCAGTAATGGTGGCTCCCCTTCCATGAAAATGGAGGAGAAAATTATCATCAGGGATAGGAGAGCAAGCAAGGTGTGGTGGAATGACCTCATCATCCCCCAGCTCACTAGGAGTAACTTCCTCCACAAAGAATGCCTCGCCTGAATCCCCAAGTTTCATGTGAATATCAAGTGACTCTCCATTGATTTCAATGTCAACCTGCAACAGGAAAGAACAGTGTACTTTCCTACATTGTTATTCAGGTAAGAGCTCGAAGGACAATAAAAGTAAAATGAAAAATCCACGCCAAGCAGATCAGCATAATTATGAAATGGAAATGAGATGGTTTTGGTCAACTGGCAACAAGTAAGCAACCAAGTCCAATCAATCTGCAATTCAGTGTTCTCTATTTTATATCGACCAATCAAATGTGCTGCAATGGGAGAGAAGTACATGCCACATCCTGTGTTTAGTTACCATGGCATCAGTCATGAGGTTTCTAGACCGAATTCTGAATGGACTTCCTTTTTACTGTAATTTTCTTTAGTATTTTCTGTCAGATACCTTTCAAAAGGCAGTAACTTCTGTTCCCTTACAGGGATTCAGAATGGATAAGAATGAGAATTCCTTTACAAATTAATGCCACGAATGGTGTTACTACTGGATACTTATTACCTTTATTACTATGACTAAAGTAATTTGGGTATGTTAACAGAAATGTTGAATTTGTACCGCATGTTTTCAAAATATACACTTCCTACCTCTGCATTCATGAAACATTTTGGGACATTTCTTTTGAACTATACATTTGTTGTTTCCTACTTTGAAGAGGTTGCTCTGAAACTGCACTGGCTGACGTAAAAGACCAACCAGTAACCAAAGTAATTCTCATCATAATATATCACTAATTCAGCACAGAGCAACGAAGAAACTTAAAGCCAACATGGTGACAAGGATAATCAGATAAAGATGTATAACTTCTGTGCTTTCATACACACCTAATAACCCCCAAATTAGAAAATTCTCACTTTATTAATTCTCTAAATTGTGCATGTAGGTCCTATCAGACAGCAAATTTTGGTCACAGATGACGTATCAAAGTGTGTCTGCAGGTGGCATGACAAGTAAACAATTAATTAGGATTTGTGGTACTTAAAGATGGCTGTCTTCTGGAATCCAGCACCATGAGAAACTAAAATCCTACTACAAAATATTTGTATGTGAGAATCTTATGTCCCACAAGGGTGTCACACACATAAAACATGGATGTACTGACTGAATGTTTTCCACATTCAGAAAGTCAAAGATGTGTCACAGTGGGGAGGAACATATGCTCCAAATGTGATATTACTTCTGTTAAACCCATTAAACATTTAAAGCGTCCTTTTCTTAAGTTACTGCATTTATAGGAAGTAGTAAAAAGAACTCTCTAGATGTTTCTATCAAGTGGCTTCAATTGTGTATTTACTGTATTCCATTGTCTTTAATATATTTAAAACACATAATGTTTTAAATAGTTTTAGAGTTTGCTTGATTTCACCACACCAAAATGTTACGCTTTTATACAATTCCAAAATGGCTGCAGCAATTACTTAGAACTGGCCTCACCAACATCCAGGACTGGTTGTCTTATTTCAGGGAGTACTTAATTTTAACTTAACTCCATGGTGCATGGTCCGTCTGGAAAAACTTATGCTTGCACAACTGGTAAAGATATTTCTTGCTTTTATACAACCCAAAAGGTAACTAGCAGTATTTACACTAACTTTCCTTGCATCTCTTTACGCCATATTCCATTTAATTCTTGTTAAACAATAGCCAGTTTAATCCACTCCAAGCAAAAACATCCTATTTCTTCACATTCCATTTTAACGTTGATCTTCCCATATACAAAAAGGTGTCCCCAACTAATTTCTTCCCATATTCCACAATTCTGTCCTTTGTCTAATCACCCATCAGGTGGAAAGTGCAAACTATAAAACTCCAGATTATGTACAATACTTTTATTTTCCGTCGTTTCACAAGCTTATTGTTAAAATCACATAAAATAAAAGTATTGTATTGAGGAACACAAGCAGGATGCAATTAAGATATAAGCTGTCCAGATTATGTATTTTTCTCCATCTCTTTCTTCGTCCTCTCAGGTCCAAATGTTCTCTTCAGCACTTTGTTCTCAAGAACCGCACTTCAAAAATACTAATTCGTGGAACTAGCGGTAACACATTTATTTCCATGAAACCGAATCTCTTGCCCAAGAAATCAACACTGGTTGAGGGTGTTAGAAAATAAATTTCTGAGAATAAATGGGCCTGCTAATGAGGAAATAAGAGACGAATGAAAGTGTTACACAATGACAAGCTTAATAAACTGCACTCTTTACCAAATATAATTAGCTTATCAAATCTAATGGGATGAGACACAACACTGCATGTCACACAAACAGGATAGATGAGAAATGCATAAAACGTTTTGGTCTGAACATGTCACAGAAAGAGACCAGTTAGGAGATCTAGACATAGATGGAAGAATAATTTTAAAAGGTGAGTGTGTGGACTGGATTCACATGGCTTCGGGAGAGTCCACTAGCAATCACTTGTAAACATGGTAAAGAAGGACTTCGTTCTATGGAATTACACTCTACAGTTTTTATGCATTTCCCAATTCCCACATACAAAGCCAAACCTGTCCGTACTTCTTTGGCAATTGCACATAAGTAGGTAAACAGTGACAGCTAAGCCATCTAAGCAGAAGACCACTGGCAGGCAATCTGACCTCAAGTAGCCTCTAATTTCAAGCAGAGTCCATCATGCCATACGCTTACTCCCCTCAGTGATGTAACATAACTAGTTGACAACTGGTCTGCTGCTTAAACTTGGCAACTTCATAGCTCTGATTCACCAAATTTAAAGGTGCCAAAGATTGCGAGACAAAGCCTTTCACAAACAGCTCTTCTTTATCTTGTTCTTGGCACTACATCCGAGTTGAAATGTTTGCACCCTCTATTGTAGACCTTCTTTAAAGACAAGGACAAGATCTCAAGAGTCAAACGAATTCAGAAATTGGGCTCACGTATTATGAATCACCTTGCTTGAGCACTACAATAAATAATGTCCCACGTACATAGAAGCAATCAGAAAGGTGATAGCAGGCAGCACAATTCAATTAATGCTAAATTACTGTCAAGAAATTTTATTTGTAAAGAGCTGATATACATAGCAAATACTTTATGGCACTGGTGTGCATTTTATTATTAAGGCATATTAAGACTTCATCTACAAATTTGTATAAGGCTTTATCGGTTGAGAGACCTTTTCTAAGTCCAAATTGTTCTGTGAGAATATTGAAGGTCATAGGAATTGTTTTGGTCATGTACTGTATTGCCTCTTACTTTGCTGGGTTTTCAGTACAGCCGAAATGAATGAGACTTCAGATTCTCACGGCAGAGAGTATGAAGTTATGCCTGCTGTTTTCTTCTTAGTTACCATATCACCACATGGCATGCAACTTTAGCACGTATGAAACAGTAATAAATAATCTACACTGATCAACAATTTCATTCGACATGAATGTAGTCTCATTAGACCTCATTGCCCTGATGATAGAGGCAGCAAGCACCTCTGAAAGGAAGGTAAAGTTCTACCAGACTACATGGCGCAACAGCCCAGATGACAACCACCTTCAAAAATTAAATGAGTTTTCTGCAAGTGTAGGACTGATTGTGACAGTATAGCAGTCCCGCTACACGTCATGTAGGTGCTCAGGGGGAGAGATGGTACAGCCCCTACTCGTTTTCGACCTCGGTACTAGATGGGGGTGAGTGGTCAGTATCACACCCCTGTCGCACTTTACCTTTGGGAAAGGACCCAAATACCCATTGGACAGGAGGCTCGGTGGGCCCCAAAACTGGTCTGGACCCAGAGGCTCGAAGAAAAATCCTCTGTCCCTGTCAGGGGACTGATTACATTATTATTTATATTTATTGATGGTTTTCTTCCACTGAGGAATATTTACCTGCTTCATATTTTACAACTTTCTAAACACTTCTTAATTTGTTACCAGTGTCTTAAACTTTAAACCAACATCATGACTTTGTATACTGTTCCCCAATTTTCATTTCTTAGATGGGTTATAAATTTATTTACAGCAAAATCATTTATCAGCATAGTTTGCTACATACAACTGTAATTATTGGCAAATGGTTTTATAATGGTTATTTATCACAATTAGTTGAGCATTATGGTCAGACAGTCTATTTATTACTGGTTTTATTAAATAAAGATGAACCTTCCTACAACTACTTAAAAACATTAAATGTTGTTGCCTGAGTAATTCTAAATTCTTCCTGGGATGTGATGAGCTGACGTGACATTAAATGATGTTCATAGGGAAATCTAACATCATTTATGGTAACTTCCAGCATGAAAATCTCTGTATTTATGACACCAAAGATGATTAATTCAGGTCTGGGTTTATAATGATAATTTACAATATAATAATTACTCAAAATCTCCTATGGGTGGTATTTATGCAGCTAAAATATTTTTGCTGTAAAACTTAGATTCCAGTGGTACAGCATAGCAGACAGCTAAAATACATGTCTATATTAGATCCTGTCTCAATTCAATAATGTTCACAGCCTCCATCTCTTCTGGAGATATACAGATTCCCTTTATCCTTCACTTAATTTAAATAGCATGACCACTTCATCACAACCTAACCTAAACACAAACACTGTAACAATATGCCTATAAAACAGTGTTTGTCCACATGAAAGTTACTCCAGTCCACACTTACTTCATCCCTCTTTGTATTAAAAATGTTTGGAATTTTCTCTTTGTTCTGTCTTTGGTGTAAGATACCAAAATGAAAATAAAACCTATTTTGTGCCATACACAAAGAAATTGGTACTATGCACAAATGTAACACAAAAATCATGACCCTCAACCTCAATTCAAGAAAAATCAACATAAAAATTTGCAAAGTAAGATTATTCTGACAGTTGAGTTCTAAAACATTTGTAATAAGCTAGAGGAGTCTGCATAATACAACTTACCACTTTTTCTCTGCTGCGGAGGACACCCAGCTTCCCAAAACGAACATGGAATGGGGAACACGTGAAGCTTCCATCAGGCTGCTCTACAACCACCACATCGATGGCTCCTGTCAAAGTTGCTGCATTGATTTCGTTGTAGAAGTCTCGGAAGTTGCTAATGAACTTGCCAATGTAGTTCATTCTGTACATTACAGCTGTGTTTGTGTTGCAATCCTTTGTTCGAAAATCCTTACTGCCTTATCATCCAAGACTTACTCCTGAGGCGTGTGAAGAACTTTTATGAAATGCGAGGTGGAGTATCAAGAACCTCGACTTCTTAACAGTTATACCTAATCTCGTTTCCACTGAGTTATTTCATTTCTTTTATGTTATGTAGTGAAACAGTTCAATGTCCTCAAACAAAGTACGCTGACACTTTAAACATCTGAATCAACAGATATATTATCAAATTAATTCCAGTGGCTTGACATCTGACAAAAACGCAAATCCATTGTTGATTATCAGAGCTCTTACGGCTGTCAAACGTCCACGGAAATGTCAATAAACAATTTATATATTACCTGAACGGTATACGTTTTGTTTACAAAGCTCAAAGTTTATTACACCAAAGCATAAAAATCATGCAGAAAAAATTCACTAATCACTCATTCGCTGCCTCCAAACGCAGATCGTTCACAAACAAATCGATGCTCAGAGTCGTCTGCAGTCCTCGCCAGCTGTTGCCAAGTCGTACGGCTGGTGCTGCTATCTAGTGAAAATCGCAATGCACAAGCTGCCGTTGTGTGCAAGGTTTGGCGGCAAACTTGGTTTAAGACGAATCATGGAACAAAAGGAACATTACATTTAATTATTTACGATAACGATAACATTATCACATCTTAAGAACACACAGCCGAGTCCTTGATCCCGGAATCGAGCCATAATGAAGTTGAAACTGCCATTGGGAAATTACAAATCTCCAGGTATCGACTCATTTCCAATGGAACTAATCCATACAGGTGGTAGGACACTGCACTCAGAGACACATCAGCTTATAGTCTCGATTTGGAACCAGAAAATAATACCACAACATCGGAAGTAATCAGCTGTTGTCCCTATGTACAAAATCGGTGACAACATTGAATGCAGGAAATTACGAGGTATGCCTTTTGTCAATGTCACACAAAATTTGATCGAATATTCTTCTGGCACGGTTAACGCCATTTATGAATGAACCTTTAACTCCAATGTTTTTTGATTGTGCTCTAGAACATGTCATCAGCAAGGGCTCGAATCGAATGGTGTGCACCAGGTACTTACTCTCCTCTGCTGCTGATGTCAATTTGCTGGTGCATGGTGCGGGTACCATAACCAAGAATGCAGATACTTTCCTACAGGTTAGCAGGTTATAAGTAACACATCATTTGAGAATGTTTCAAAATCTAAGTATCTGGGAACTGCAGTAACAAATAGAAATGAGGTCCATGATGAAATTAAGAGTAGAACACATTCGGGGAACGCTTTTTTTCAATTCAAAATCTGTTTTCATCTCGTCTGCTATCCAAAACACTAAAGATCAGGATTTATAAAGCAATACTTTTGTCTGTTGTCTTGTATGGAAGAACGTAGATTACAAGTGTTTGAAGCCAGAGCTCTCAGGATATTTGGATCTAGGAGGGATGAAACAAGTGGGGAATTTATAATATTGCATATCGAGTAGCTGAGTGAATTGTACGTGTCGCCTACATTAGTGAGGATAGTGAAATCTAGGAGGCTCCGATGGGCTGGACATGTAGCACGCATGGGGAGGTAATGGGTGCATACAGGATTTTGGTAGGGAATTCTTCTGGAAAACGACCACTGGGCAGACCAAGAAGGAGGTGGGAGGATAACATCAAGATGGATCTTAGGGAGGTGGGCTGTGAGGATGGTAAATGGATGGAGTTGGCTCAGGATCGTGTCCGGTGGCGGGCTTTGCTGTTGTCGGTTCTGCCACCAGGGAGTTAGTTTGTTAGTTAACATCACCAAATTATTAAACTCCGCCGTGACAGGTTGCATGTGGTTTGTTGACATTTCCATCGACAAGGCAGCAACAGAAACTTTGCTAGCATCACGAATATGATGACGTAAGAGGTGGCGTGGTGTATCACCTTATGGTATCATCCGATACTCGTTGAACCTTGTCATCGTCACAGAGTAAATAATGATTCGCTGCTAAAAGAGTCCCTTTCTGCATGCATAAACATAAACGTATGTACTGTTTGCTCTGAAATTAAAATTCATCAACGTTCATTTCTTTGTGAGCTGTTAGCCATTTATTTATACACGTAGAGGTCTTACGCAGTCACAAAGTAACAATTAGAACAGCCTAAAATTTATTCTTTTTCGTGTTTTCCAAAGTACAATTGTTCTAAAACAGTGTTACCAAAAGAGCGGTGTGCGTACCGCCGATGGTACGCGAAAGGACACCAATATGAACGCGACAAAATAAATAATTAAAAACTGCTGTCAGATTAACATAAAGATAATAAAACAAACTCGTTAATATTTAACACGCTCGTAAGGTTCTGTAAATTTTTAGCTTACCTCAGCTCTTTCATTTAAACACGCTGAGTAGCCTCAGTAACTTCATTGGTGCACCGAATTCAATAAGAATTTTGTAAAATGCTTCCCTCCGAAGCGAATCACGGATTTCCTCGAAGTCTATAAACAGCTGGTGTATTGTCCCATTGTCCTCGCATCTGTTTTCCGACGTATGACAAATACGGAACATGTTATCTGAATCTGATTGAGTATGTTCGAATCAACACTGATGATACCCAAAAATTGGACATAATCTTGACATAAGAATGCTCGTTGACATTTTGTGTGTTTCTGATAACAATGGCCTCCTTCCACTGTCCCACCAATTAATAAGCTCGTGGATCTCAGAACGTAATGCATTATCTTCTATTCGGATTAGTTTTGGCGGAATGCGATCTGTACTTGGTGATTCATAGTGTTTCAACTTTTCAGTAGCAAACCCATCCAGAATGGGTATTATTTCATTCTGTGTAACGTTGTTACAGACAAAAGTAATTATTTTGCATACTCAAAATACTGTGGATATCTGCAAGCCGGTCACCATTGTTACTTTTAACCTGGTAACTCGATATAACCTCTCTGTACACGTTTGATATATTTGTTCCTATTGTTTGAAGGTGTTTAATTTTGTCCCTCTTTTTAGTGGAACGCATTTTGAATGGCTTTTGTCACCGACTGGTACCAACTCTACAATCATAATTCATGCCGTCGCCACCTTGACAGTTGGCGTTATCGCACGTACTACAGAAAATGGTGGAATCTTTATTAATGTACTATTTATATACAAAGGCCTTTGTGTGTGTGTGTGTTTGTTACGAAAGGGGCAGACGAAACTCAGACTAGCGAACAGTTCTCTAGTAACCTAACAGAGCAGAATCTTTTGAGACCGAGCGTCGGCCTTAAAAGATTAGCCAACCACATACAAAACTGTAATCAAAATTAATCTCTCGAGGTTATCTCCACACGTAGGCTAAACTGAATGGGATCATCAGTGTGAATTTTGTCACAGTCAATCAACTAGTAACCATGTATGGAGCATTCGTCAGATGTGGGAGATGAAAAATTGGAGTACAGTGGAAGAATTCACCAGCTATTTAGAGACATCAAGAAACCTTATGATTCAGTTAGCAGGGCAGTAAGATAGTGTAAAGAACTGTCACTTAAGTCGGTGTTTGTATCAATGAATCTAATTTTAAAATGTTAGAGAAAAATTACACAAAGAGTCCATAATAAAATCCCGTATCTTTCTTATACGGACGTCAGATTCATGTGAAACCAAGGTCTGACATCTTCTGTTCCGGGCCTCTGTTTATAAAAAGAATACGGCGCTGATGCTGGTGTGACGTCAGACTGGTTGTGTTGCTGCAGTACGATTCAACGACTCTATTACTTGTCTTAGTACAAACGAGCTTCCGGCAGGAGCTGCTGGCAGTCGGCCAACATCGGTTATAGTCTTCATTATGTTGGCATGGAGAGTGAACTGAAGCGACAGTTCCTTCGAAAGCAAACACTGCCCTCATGTGGGGAAAAATAAAAGTTTTGCGAACACTGCTAGCGGGTTACCACAGCAAAAATAGCTTTTACAAGTTCCTACCGGCTTTGCCGAATTGTGTAAATGTGTACGGAGGTCCATGATAAGCGACCAGCCCTTGCTTCAGAGTACAGAGAATTGATGATGTTTATAATTTGATACTACGTGAAGTGCAGTGAGGACTATCATGAAATGTGAATTGAGTCACAGATAATTTAAAAAAACCCTTCGAAACAGTCATCACACAGCCTTCCCGATTCGTACATAAACCAGTTCAGTATAACCCGTGTCTAAGAGCTCCCTTCTGAACCCTAAAGCTGACTCGCGTATTTACGTATTCTGTAAGCATACACGATACTTGAATTCACGCCTGCATGAAGTCATAAGACATAAAATATGTCCATAAATGATCTTCTGGTGATTTCAAACGCAACGAGGAACGAAACGATCTATTGTGTCTGCGCATGTATTATCATTAGTAACCTCGAAAACAACAGAAAATAAAGATAAACTTGTCACAGACGACTTCAAAGTCCAAGGATAACAAAAAGTATTCCTTTATCCCATGTATTCCGCAGCGGTATCCTACTTGTCGCTCTCAGCGGTCCATAACATCTCGTACACTATAAAAATGAACAAATTCCGTCATTTCTCCACGTTATCACTCATTTATTGAACGTTCACAGAAAGAAATTTTTGTAACAAAAATTATTACCTTAGAGTAACCGTCTCAAAAAAAAATGAGGCAAGCAAGCTGCTTTATACGTTGCAATAAACTGAACAGTTAAATAGAACTTCACACTTTTTAAGTCGTTAATAAAGTCAGTTCAAGTCTAGTAAAAAATTAAAAACTGCTTCTACTTTAATTAAACTTCAAACAGAGCTTTCAGCGGACTTGAAACGTACTACACATCAATAGGTTAGGTTAAAGTCCATTGAAGTATTTGTGAAGTGACTTGCATTCAAGCAATTTCATTAGCGTGAACAAGACTTAAATGTCCAATTTGAACACCAGGAAGACGATGGGATGATGTAAAAGGGCGCGCTGTGAGTGGGTGAGTTACACGCAATGGATGGCGACCGTATAATGGATGCTAATCTGACTTCCCGGTACAACACAGGAGCAACAATGGAGCACAGGCAGCGAACAATATGCAAATTAAACGTGGACTTGCAACACTCTTGCATTGAATATCCGTATCATTTACCTTGGTCACGAGATATAACCATTAGAACAGTTGATGAATTGTAATTTTATAACGAGGTGGGATTTCAATTGCGATTTAATGAACTGGATGCCGCTTACACGCTCAGAAATACGAAAGATGTTCCCGCCGCATTAAACGGTAGATTTTCGACGTGTACAACGGAGGTATAGTCGGCGCAGTTGTTTTTGGCCGGTGGAGAAACTAGCGGAGCTGGCGGGCGGGCCTACTCTGTGTACCTGAGGTGGCACGGCCAGTGTATTTCTTTTGTTTGGGCGTTCAGTCCGATAAGCTCCTCCGTGCAGTCAGCATTATACTATCGCACAAGTGACTTGCTCCTAGCCTTCCCCTTGAAAATTCCACCGGCCAAAATCTGATCATGCACATAGCGAAAAACCACACACACGTGACAGCCACTGATAACAGTGTTAGTGAATGATACCCTTAAGTCGGGAAAGGATATTTTCTGGCTGATATCTTAACCAGGGATCTCTCATGTGGGAGGAAACGCGACGTGAACCGAGGTTTAAATGTCTCTCTCCTTAAAGTTTCGTTTATCCCAGATAGGTTAAATTAGCTCAGTCCTGGGGATTACATCCAGAGATTCTCAACCCACTGGCACAACTGATCTGGTCAACTCAGAACGTCCCTGTCCACGCAACGCTAAAACCCAAGATTATCGCAAAACTTCTGCAGGTGTACAGACAACTGTGGACGTACAGCATCCATTTCGACAAACATCCGGCCATAAGAGTAAGTAGTAGCCATGTGAACGACGTTTAAGTAAACTCGAAGGTGAATCCTCGAATCCATCTCGTGCGTGTAAGTAGCAGAATAACTGCAGTGTTACTGGGGGCCGGGGGGGGGGGGGGTAATGGTTACTTTTTATGCGTAGGCGTATACAGATCGAAAAGAAAGAACGTTGTTTGGTGTTGAGAGTGCAGATGTTGTAATATCCGAGACCAATGCGTGCGCTTTGCCTTTGCCACTAGCTTGTAAGTAGCAAAACGCATGCGCTGTATAAACCAAAGTGACATCATCGATATAGGAAATGGGACAAAGACCTACAAAGAATTCCTGCCGGGAAATAATGTTTGTTGTGTTTCCTTATCTGCTACCCCTCTCAACCCCCTGCGTTTTACGTCACGACTGCAGTAGGGGAATATGGGGTACAATGGAGCACAAGCGTTCTTTGTGGCCTCGTTCGAACATTCTCGCCATTGTTTGGTTTTGGCCTTGTCAGAAAACCGAAAGTTGCGAATGATATTTCACACTTCAGACGTTCGCAACCAGAATAACAGGTTCATACGGAAATGTCCCATAGTTGTGTTGGTGTAACATAAAAGGCTCTGTAATAAATGCAAAACTCACCTTGATTAGGTGGTGTGCTGTAAGCTCAAAAATGGCCAATGGACAACAGATATAATTTAAAACGCTGCGGTGAATAGCAAAACATCCAAGAGCACGAGCCTTTAACATCAACTGCTTGAGAACAGAGAAAAAGGATCTCGCAAATAATACGCAGCATCCACTCCTGAACACGTTGATGCCTCGAACAAGTACTTCAGATGCCTTCCGACAAAACGCCGTCGCCTTGCCACTCGAATAAATATGAGCTCTTGCGTCACTGCGACCCCACGTTCCCCTAATCAGGTGAAAATGTTTTGACCTTGGCAGTGCGACGGCGGTGTCCATCTGCGACAAGAAATCGGTATTCCAGTTGATAAAATATTATGCACAGTTAAAGCCACACATTTTGACAAGGCCAACGCGTTTTTTTTTCTGGATAACAGATTATAATACCTTCTTACGATGGCAATTCAACAACATTTTCCTGTGTCGACAGTATGTGTGCGGCATTCGCAGAGTAATCTATTGACAAAGACACATCTCACTGCCCATTTTTTCTTTCTATTAAACTGAAATGGGTGGTCAGGGCCATTAATCAGGTCTGATAATAAATACAGCTCCTATTTTGTTCATGCCTTGAATATGTGGCTTCTATTCTCGTCTCCCTCAAGTGTTTAACCTAAAAACCTTCTTCCGGAACAAAACTTTCGGAGTTAATCTTTCACGAAAACGATTCTGTCACTAAAGCCGTTATTTCATCTTCCGTTCATTTGTCTTTTAACAATCATCTACCACAATTACTCCCCAACAAACAGGAAAAAAAATCTCACCGGGACTTGAACCCAATATAATTTTATCTGGAGGGAGGGGGAGATTATGGTCTTTGCTTCCCACAATCTCCTCGCCGAAATAAACAAATTTGGTCTTGTCCGTGTTCTACCACGATTATTTTTCAGTGTACAGAAAATATCCTCACACGGTGTTTCTACGTCGCATTTCATTCCAATTTCCTAACTCATGACCAGATTATGTGCTCGAAGTGTGATTGGAAATTTGTCCTGATTCCATATTAAGGCTTTGACCGGGATGTTCTTTTGTTAAATCTTATGTGGTACCGCCTGATTCGACTTCTAATGGTTAAGTGAAGTGTTTTCTTCGCGGTACGGACTGAATTCATAAATAATATTCAGACGATCTTCGGCTTCAAAGGGTTAAAGATATTCCACTTTTCGTCATCCCCTTCTAGCATTAATTGCATGTATACGGATACCCACACTCGGTTTCACGTTAACCCAGGCATAAAATTCAACCCCCCCCCCCTTTACGGTCTGCGTTACGAAAACACGTGGACATCCTAACAGGTATGTCAACTCCGTCTTGTGTTCTACTCGGGCGGCGTCGAAAACAAACACACTTGCTATTGTTTTCTTACGCAAGGCTTCCGGTCTTGCGTTGCTATTGGGTGTACACATCCATGTGAGACGCAGGCTTTTGTGAACAGCGTAATAAACTTTTCGGTTCGAAAGACAACGGGGAGTTTTTTGACTAGCTGAGCGTCAATCATCTTCTCAACAAGTATAATGCTCAATGTAGACACATATCACGTAACCTCACCAATTCTCAATGGCTGAAGAAATCATTTTCAATTGAAATGTACTGATCCTTCGACTGTAAATTGTCATTACAAGTTCTTCCAGTGTATTCACGTAATTCTGAATTTAACAATTTCGAATCACGATATACAATCATAGCGCCACTAATTTTAAGCACATGGATAATTTAGAGCAGTGGTATTCAACTTTTTTTGTTCGCGTACCCCCAGATATTTCTCAACTTTGTACCCCCAAAGTTTTTGGTGTATAATTCAAGTTATACATAGTATATAATCTCCCAAATCGAATGTCCTTACGTCCGGTTCTCCTGTGGCTAACCTTAAATCTGGCCCTGATTATTCAGTGTTTATCATAAAATAATATATATATAAATATATATTTTAAATTTCACGTGCCCCTTAAGATGTCTTCGCGTACCCCAGGTTGAATACCACTGATTTAGAGTATGGTAAGCAGAACATAGAAGAGAAAGTTTCTTACCTGGGACACTCTGAGCTGTGGCCTATGACGAAATTCGATTTGTAGGTGTCCTTACCGTTCATTCTCAGCCAATCACAACGTTGTATTATCATTAATTGGAATTTAAAACGCTACGCTTAAACAAAATAGTCCTTGCACGTTCAACAATAAAATCGCTACTGACTCTTAACTGCCTCCGCTGAATTAACTTAAACAACCAAGTCAAATGACGCAGGAAGTAAAACTACTCAAACGTCACACATTTCGGATAAACACAGCTGGGGCGCTCCCAACACGAGATCGCTCACACCTCCGTGCCCAGCCAATCACACGCCTCGTTTTCCCTCGCCTCATCCAAATAGCCAGTCAGAATCAATACATAGCACCTCGCCATCAAAAGAGAGAGCAAAGTTGTTTTCCCATGTGACATTTCAGAATTCTAAGAAGAAAGGCGTTAGGCATGTGCGTATAATCTAACAATGACTACGACCCTAGTCAAACTGCGCAAAATCTGCGAGGTTCCAAGGCAGCGTGACCAGTTAAAACCAGAGCGTGGTACACATATTTTGCGATTCCCATTGTCTCGCGGATCCGGAATTAAACTTGTCACAGATGAAACGCCGTTGTTGCGCACAGAAACTCGGTCCACAAACGTAACTACACGAATACTCAAGCATTACGTTTGTATTCCATCCATTATTAACGACACGAAGCGACATTTCGAATGAAAACTTTTAACATACGTGGGCAGGTGCTTTAGAAAATCGATCAGTTAATGGCGGTGAAAACATCGACTGTTATCTTCTGTAATGTGTACTGTATTGGTGCAATTGTACCAACTTTCTGTGCCGCCGGGCTACTGCCACTCGCACGAACTTTTACCTTTGTTCGCCCCACCCCTGAGGAATGATTAATTACGCGACATATGTAACCAAATGTTTTATTTTTCATCTTATATTTGGTGACTGTTTCTTAACTGAATCAGACGAAGTTTTGGACAGCCTATCTAAATCAGGAATAAAATTCATTGTTGTCAGTTCAATCACACCGCTGGGTTGGATCCAAAAATGTATTACTCTGTTTACAAAATCCAGTAACTGAACTTTATCCTAAACCAAAGTTAAAAGTAAGCAGTGTTACACACAAATACGTGTTAGAGGTTAGTTCCAGATGCTTAATATCCACACACGTTTTCACAGATACCACGTCAGGTGATTTAAGATTTGTTATATGCCAACAAACATGATCGGTCAGAAACTTATCTTCGTCTTGATATCGCAGACAAAGAGACGAAACATTTAAACAAAACACTGAGGAATGTTCAAAAGGGTTGTACAAAGCCAAACATAATCAGCATGCATACATGTTGTCTGTTTGACTGGTTTTTTGTTGTTTTCAAGACTCCAGAAGAATTCAAACACAGTAATTGAAAATAATTTACAGATATAAACAGGCAGGGTTTGAAAATCTGTTACTTCTACAGCAGAAACTGCACTATTTTAGTTTCCTAAAAACTTTTAATAAAAGTGACAGAAGTCGTTTGTGCGAATTTAAAAGATTCTCATAACCTTTCGTGGACAATTGTGATTTTTAATGTTTCTGAACAAAATACCTTCGGGGTTGTTCGGGGACTTGCAGCCGTACGGAGGCAGCGGTATCGCGTACGCCAGATGTTGCCCCATCCCAGTCTCTTGGGCAGTGTTGTCAAGGTCGGCCAGGTTTAAACGATTGCCAACAGTACAGCTGGTGAGCACGTGTTCCAGTCCCCTCTACATATGAATGTCCTTCCAACTTGTGCAATTTTATGGAACCGAGTCGCCCTTTCTCGATAACGCGATAGATGTCTAATTAAAAGTCGACTGGAGTGGACGCCAACCAACCAAGAAGCTAACTAAACGCGGAGTCCTGCGCAAGCGCATTGCTGGAAATGGTAAACAGAGCCTTATAAAACGGGAATTTGCTTACGCTAACCACGTTACGTGCGCGGGAATGGTGTTACCTAGCACGGGGCGACGTCTTGCGAGCCGAGTTCTATTGCCACATCTCGGCACTGCAGCTCACATTACGTAACCACACACAATGCCAAGAGCACGGATTACCGGCTTAGCCTGAAGCCGCACAGACTTCCGGAGTTCCTGCCAACTTAATTAATTAAAATAGTACTCAGGTTCGACAAAAATACACATAAAACTGGCAGAAACTCTATTTCACACCACGAATTAAAAATAAAATTTGGAAAATGAGAAATATATTCAAGATATTGTTTGTATACTACGACGGTAACTCGGAAAATGGTGCCGGAGATGAGAATATTATAATATTGAAAAGGTGTGCTGTTTGGAGATCATTGTTGAAACAGTGTGAGCCAACAAAGATCTCGGGTCCCGTTGTTTCAACAGCGCATTCCAACAATGGCCCGTGGTCATGTGGGTTGCATCTCCGCTTGGAGAACCGCGGTGGACGAGTAGACACGGGCGGGCTCATGCTCAAACACTGGGTCTCCGAGAAACATATTGTTCACTAGAATGAACGGACTCGAAACGTGATCCAACATACGTTCTGTTCCTGAGAACAATACCTCGCCATGTTAGTTTTTTTTAAGTAGGCCCAGAAACGAGGAAAACTTAACTCTTCGGATAGGTGACGTTCTTTGCTGGAATCTTAATTTACGAAGCCGCTAATCAGCACCAACTGCGTCAACCAAACGTTCGCCCGTGGTGTGAACGCACTCATGCCTCGGCTTAAAACCGGGCGGTTGACGACGCTTTCAAATGTCCTGGCTTGCTTAGTGGCCAGACGGCTGTCAGCACACTGAAGCAGGAGTCACACTCAACACATGAGCGAAAATTAAATTTAAGTGAGATTTGGTTCTTATGGCGAGGAGTATGATCGAAGATTACCGGCGTTGCACAGGTGATGCGCCCACCGGGAGGAAAGGGGGGAGGGTATAGGATATGGTGCTAATATTATTTATTATTAATAGCCTCAAAAGAACCGGACAAATTATTACCGACTGCCCGCGAGAGAAGAAAAGATTGCTACATGCAGGTTGCGTAAGAAGACAAACAGAATTCACTGAAAGAATTCGTGAAGTCAGACTCAGCTCAAGTACAGACCTGCCAGAAATGGCGGTGTAAATATTGCAAGTCATTCCTTTCTTTCTCTCTCTCTCTCTCTCTCTTCGTGTGTTTTGCAATTCAAACGTAAAAATGGTTGCTGAGCTCGCTTAAATAAATATTTCTCATGAGAGTCTTCAAAACGTGACAGCAAACGTTGAGAGGCCATGAGACTTTGGACAAGTAAACGTTAAGTAACACTGTTTACGAAATTAACATCGTGAACTCAACATCAACACACGCGCGCCACATTTGCCAGAGACAGAGTATTCGCAGATTTGTTTTAATTAACATTAAATGTGTATGACCTATCTACTCTGTGTGGCATTTCCACATTTGCATCCTAAAAAAACCAAGGTCGATGATAATATCGTACTTTTCTGGGGTTTTTGCACCGTGCAAAATCGTAGGTTATGTTCTATGTTGGAATCTTTGGCACGCAACAGGCAGACTTCAGACGGCCAGCATGCTGTCTACATCTTCGAGGCTGAAGTTTCTCTGAAACGTCGGTATCTACACTGATTATGGAAACAGCAAGCACCTGTTATTTCGAGGGCACAAACGAATCTTTTGTGGCAGGTAAACTGCGACGTAATAACATGTACCAGCAAGAAACTTTTGCGTTTTAAGAGTTCTATTTGGAATGTTACACAAAAATAAGTTTCAAAACATGTTTTGACGCGATTACGCATTTGTTGCTGCGTTTCGGGCCCGTCGCAGCCTTGGAACGCTGTTCATGAGGTCCACTTCACGCACCAAAATGGGTCACGCCTCCACGCACAAGGTCACTGCCAGCCGAGCTTGCTTACAATATTCCGATTGATGTGGTTACTGGCGAGCTACACTAAAATTTATTGCGTTGTTTGCTTATAAGTCTTCTTTAACGACGCATTCAACTTTTCCCGGAATGGACTGTGAAAATATTTAAATCTGTGACTTCCGGCGTGCCATAGCACATTGTTAAACAGTCTATCGCGATGTTTAATTGTCCCGATCCCATGCAGCCGATATTTTGCACAAAGTTCAAGCAACAACCACTAGCAATCACAATAGCTCACCTCCATAAAACCAGTGAAGCTTTTGATCTGTAAAAAGGCCAAGTTTTGTCCTTAAATGCTACACAAAAGCAAGTGATAATGAAAAAAACCTTGTTTTTTCAGTAAAGTCTGAGGAACACCTCTGTGAAATGAAATTTACTTACAAACCCGTGCTATGCAAAACAGTGCTACATGAAGCAGGCACTGGCCATTTTGTTACTATGCATCGCTACGGACAGCAGGGTATGTATAATGAACTCTTTTGAGTTTTAAATAATTCTGTTCAAGATACTCCGGTTTACGCTTTGTTAGGGAACTTTCCGAATTTTTTTTTGTAGAAAATTTATAGCAATTGTTAGATTTGAAACACTAAAACGTGATGAAAACTGAAATTTCTAAAGCAAATGGTAAGATGCAAGAACAGAAAGTGCGCTTTCTGACTGAACACGAATGATTTCAGAGATTCAGAATGATTCCTATTTATTTATTTTTTGATGTTCGTATGTTTCAGAGCGTACTGGGAGGTTCCTGACAAACTTGCGGGAAATGTTCCTTGGGTCAGTTTGAGTTTAAGTAATCAAATGTATGTCATTGTGAAGTTCAAATTATGGAACTAAGGACAAATACAACATATTCAAAGTGAAGCTTTTGCAGCGACTGAAGTTGATGAAAGACTCTTGGGTTAGAAGCCGCGTCAGGTGGCTGAATGGCGAATAAACCATATCTTCTGCCTTCGTTGGTTATGTTACAGAGTTCTTAAATCTGCGTCCTGTTCGCTTATGTGTCGGCACATATTTTAATGGTATGTTTTGGATGCACATAGCCAATCTATGGGTCTTCAGGCATATTCACAAACGACACCACTGCTGACGAGAAATAAGGAATATGAGTAATTATCACTAGATCTTCAAATTACAGTTTCAAACTATAAATATTAAATTCCACCTATTAAAATACAGTACCACTTTTCCCAAGTATGTCCCTACTGATAAGGCTTCACACTAGTTCTTCCGAGTTAGAATTCACTCGCTGTTATCATCATTTCAATATAGCCCTGGAAATGGATGGCGCTAAAGCTCCGTGCCTATACCTGGCCGCCGCAAGGCAAGGCTGTTTTGATGCGATTAAAGATGGATACATTTTGTAGTGGGGTATGGATTGGGCTGGACCGTCTGTAGTTAGTGAGCTATTTTGAATAAAAAATTGTTACTTTTTGCTTTTTGGTAGATGCTAACTTTGGACTTGAAGGCTGTTGCTGCTGCCTGTCCTGTCTGATGAACGACACTAGACTAGTATCAGTACCAGTGTTTTTTAATTGTCAGAATTTAATGTTCCTCTTAATTGGCAGTTGTAGTGATAATTATTCCCCACTTAATGGTACCTGCACCTTCGTGGTGGTGGGGCTTGAGTTATCTCAGTGACCCCAAGAGCTATGCTGGCGGTAGCCAAATTTGTCGAGGGGGAGAGGTCAGACTAAGACAGGTAACCTGGTCCCCCAGGTTGGGGGGGTTGGTCGCAAGGCTAACAACCTTGCACCGTAAAAAGGAAGATGTTTCGAAACCTAGATCTAAGCCTTGGACAGACGGACCTAACAGAGGACCGAATGGAAGAGGAGAATTGAGGAGGCCATGGACCGAATACGGACCGGAGAGCCATAGAAGAAGAAGAAATTATGTACAGACACTTAGGTAATATATGTAATTTTTTTATAAAATAATCTGTCAATCAAATAATTTAGGAGAGTAAACGTAAGGCATGCATTAACATTTATATTGAATACATTACGTATTATTGAATTTCAGTGGGCACTGATAGTAATTTTTAAATGATGAAGCCCCAATAAAGAATGCAGTTATACAGAAGAAGTGCTAAATAATTTTAACTTTAACTCTACAATAGACAACATGAAACTGATAAAAAATATTTCATATTAAAGCTCCTTGAAACGACTCTTCTGTCTCAATTACAGGCTTGGCATGGTTAGTGAAATGATACTTATGAATCTTTCAAGGTTTAATCAAAGAACAGCCGTCACGGAGCGGCCATTTAACTGTACAAGTTTATAGAATAAAATGAAGACGATCTTCAATCTTGACCTGGAAACAGGAATCATGACACTGAAAAACAATTTTGTGACAGACTGTGGGAAACGCACAGTAACTTAACGTGCCACCTTCACACTTGCATTCGCCTTTAACATCGTCAACTTGGAATTCAAAATATCGTCTTCCAAGCACGGGCAAACACTGAAAATTTAACGCCTCACTGCAAAACACGATCCCACATTTCAAAATATAATGGTTATGGAAGCCCAAATATACACAACGATATCTCCCACAGAGAAAACAAGCGGCTAATACAAACGTCAGGATTTCTCTCACCCCCGCAAGTGCAAGTTATACCATCTGAGAGCAGGTCCGACGTAACGCAAAAAATAGCCGAAGGAATATGAAAGTATAGCATTAAGTACATTTAAAATTCAAATTACCGAAACAATTTTGCATCATTACCAAATGTGAGATCAGAGCAAACTTTTAATGGCAATCAAAACAAAATTATTCGTCCCAACACTGGAATTTTACAGTCCAACGCCTTCAACAGAAACTTGTACTTGCAATTAACCATCCCGGAGCCTGTGAACAACATCCATTTTCACTGCTCCGCTAATAACAACAATGTAACGGGTTCATCCTCGTACCTTCAACTCTGAATGGCCGTAGAGTTTAACGTTGCACTCTGCGTATCTGAGTTCACAGTGGCATTGTGGCTATTTAAAATGTTCGAATGATGATTCGTGTTAAGTGCTACGAGCACTTGGTTCTTATTACGGAGTTCAAACACTTGCTGAATGGCTTCGCGGAAGCAGAGGAAGTTGTAATCGATGATACCTATAACAAAGAGTAAAATGCCCTCTTGAACATCAATCAACTGATCAGAACCCTAAAGAATTTAAAATACCCTGTTATCACATCCAACACCTACATCACCACTAAGAAGAAGGGCTGAAGGAAAACATAATTCATACAATAAATTCTCAGTATAATGGACACAAATATAACGACTTTTGTTATAACAAAAATAATGTTCATCCCCTGCCAAACCTCCATGTCCTCTTTCACCATTTTTCTGGTCACAGTGACAATAAAATTGGTGATGTTTAATATGATCGTAAGAGTGGCACATCACAGTAACCTATGTGACAGGAAAATGGGCTCAGAAGTCAGCGGGTGGCTTAACTGAAACGTCATTTATTTATTAGCTGGACATGCCAACCTTGACTGAAATACCTTTTGTATGTGGTGAACAATAATTTGGCAATCATGTAAATGTTCACGTGTCACTTACCACTCACATTAAAAAATACTGCATTTCACTTCTGATAATTTTGGTCATTACCATCTCAAGCTACGTTAGTTTTGTTCTTGCGTTAGTTTTTCAAGTTTCTGAGTTATTATAGTTGTTCTCCAAAATAAGGCCACTCACATTTAACATTATCAACTGTATGTTACTACCTAATGCCACGTTGTTATGTTATTAAATTTACCACTAACTTACGACTTAAATGTTTTGTATTCTCTTTCATATCCTTTATATGGAACAGGTGCAACAACTCATTCTGGAGGAATGAATTGGACAATGGTGTTAAAATTTACCCTCAGCCGAGTAAATATTTTCTGTACGGCGGCTTGTCTGGCACTGGGGAAATGGAGATTAGGTAAACTCCCTGCATTTTCATTCAAGACTCACACGTGGGCAAGTCAGGAATTTCTGTGTCGTTTTGGCACCACATGTCAGGAGGAGGAAGCTGCTTGCAACAGTCGTGAATAACACCCTTGTTTGTCTCGGCACTTCATTAGCCTATCCTATTTGGGCAAACTTTGTGATGCTTGTCGAAGGTGGAATTACAGGTTGTTCTGTCAGGTAGTCTGTTTCATCAGTCTTCATCAAGTTCCCACGCAGTCTTCGTTCTTTCATTCTCTTGCCTGCGGGCGCCATGCCTTAACCTCACAGATATGCAGTAATGAAACAAAAGAGTTCTTGTCTGAACACAATGCAGAAAAAGTTATTTTTAGAGCGTATTTTCCTCTTGACTGCATACAAACTGAGGCATTCTGAATTCTCAAATAAACTCTGTCACAATGGAGGTATTGGAATAAAATTTCTTTCCTAGGATAGAAACAAAGCCTTTGATTCAAGGGAATGTAATCCCATGGCCCCTGACACTTCAGCCTGAGCAGACCGAGTCACAGCGACTGACCTAATATTTCATGGCAGCTTGTTCTTGCGATATTTGTGCTAAAGAGTTGAATCCGGTCACAGGACTGTGCGCCTTATGGCCATTTTTACTTTTCTGGTTTGCAACTAATCATTATTGTTGCTGATAAGCCATAATCAGAATCAGTGACAAAGAACTCTGAGAAAGATTGTATTAATTTCACTCTCAATCTAAATAACTGAAAACAAATGTAAATGACGTGTAGACATACAGGTCGAAAATTAAGAAATTTTGTATACACGTAAATGTGTTCATTTTCAATAACATAATTTTTACTTTGAGTTTATAGCTTAAAAATGCAACAAATATACCATATTTTGTAAAATCCAGCACTTTGAGTCTGTTTAAACGCCATTTAACTCCATATGTACACAAAGACCCCAGGAATTTAAATACTGTATGCTAAAGGTTAAACATTACCTTGCCTGTCAAAGTTGTCTTCTCGGAGAATACAAACTAATGCTAGGAACTTGTTTACTTCTCGAAGGTACAATATGGTGCCATTGTTCAATTTTATCAGACTTGAACTCTGAGAATCAAATGCTGCTGCCTCCGTGTCTTCCCGAAGACTGAAAAACAACACAGACAAAATGAAATAAGTCAGTAATTCAAACTTGACATGTATCTTCCATCAGTAATAACGTGACAGTAATTTTGCCTTAATACATTCAACTAAATGGGGCGTGATGCTGACCACTCACCCCATCTAGTGCCGAGGTCAAGAAAGAGTAGGAGCTATAACTCCACTACCCCCAAAAGCCTGCATGGCATGTAGTGGGACAGAAAAAGAAATACAGTGAAACCTCGATGCATCGTTTTCAGCGGGGGTGGGAAATAAAAACGATGAATGCGGGAAAACGATAGATGCGGGAAAGCATTAAAAATTTAAAAAAAAACAATGTTTCTCTTTCAAAGTTACTTCTTTTTACCAAAAAAGTCTTTAATGGACAACTGGTTTGTCGAAACTTTACGTTTTAGGCCAAACAGAGCCCTTTCCACGTTCAAAATGTTTTCTTCGTCACGTTCACTAATATTATGCGCATAAAAGAACGACTTCACTTTCGCCAATGTAGCGTGTGCTTCGGCAAAACTCGGCAAAGCTTTGGGCTCGCATTCGTCGTCTTCCTCTTCCTCACCACTCCAACCCCCTTTGCGGACAATAACAGGAAGAATGGAAATACTATTAATG